AGATCTTTAGCTGGTGGTCCACACCAGAGGTGGCCATGTGCCTGGGGGGAAGAGGAGGTTAATCTGTAGTATGAGCTTACTGGGCAGGCCTGTGACCAAGTCCAGGCATGAAGTCCAGCTGGGGAGAAAAAGACCAATAATAATAGTAATCACTACCATCACACCACCCTCCACAGGCCTCCTCTCAGTTAAGCATCACGTGACCGTATTATTTATTTCCCTTTTACAGTGAGGAAACAAACTCAGAAAAGGGAAATCAGAGTAAGCAGTAGAGCTGGAATTCAAGTTAGACTGGGTTCTTCAGTGTCTGTGCTCTCACCTACTCAAGACGTGTGAATTGAAGGGAAAAGGCATACGACAATCTATCTAAGTGATGTTCCACTGCGCAGACAGCCCAGCGGCTCAGCAGAGGGAAGGACGGATTGAGGAGGTCGGGGAGGGCTTTGTGGGAAAATTGGGATTTGAGCCTTTCTAGGCAATTCTCAAGAAAGCACAAGAAACAGAGATATACAGCAGGTATTGGAAGCAGGGATTTGTTTTCAGGATGGTGGGAAATAGGGACAGGAGGACCAGGAGTGTACAAATTGTAAGGGCTCTTGAAAGTCAGAGAGGGACCCAGAGTGCCCGACATTGGTCTCCAGCAATGACAAGTCACAAGGTGAAGACATGCAGACCGGAGAAAGCCTCCTTAGGAAGCAAGGCAGTAATGCACTGGAGGGCCCCACCCCGCCCCCTTCCCCTGGAAGGAGGAGGGGCAAGGTTGGTGACCAAACCCTCTCAAGGAATCATGACCCACATAAGTCGTTTACTTTCAGAGACTGGAGTTTCTGTCGATGTTCAAGTTGCTCCTCAGAGAAGGAGGCTGAAGGGGGACCAGCCAGGCGAGGGGCTGTGTGTTTGCCAGACACCAAGGACTCTCTTTAGCTGTGGCTGTGAACACAGGAGGAAGGAACTAAAGGGTTCCTCTGAGCAGAGTTGGCCTTTGATGGGGCTGAATAGAGGCCCAGTTGGGAGAAACAGTAGGCCCGATCCGAACACGCATACAAGTCAGACAGAACAGCTGTGGAAATGCACATACTCGCCCAGGAAGAGTGGAAATTCAAAGCAGACCTCCCAGCCCTACCCTTCTCGTCACCAGCCAGACCTCAAGAGAACGACCATCTGATCATCTTTAATGATGATGGTCACAGAGCGTGGCGCCACCCACTCACTAGGCACCACGGTAAGCTCTGGATGCCATGCCCGTCTTTAATGTCAACTACAGCTTGGAGCTAAGCCCAGGGCTTGGCGAACTATGGCCCATGAGTCAAGTAAGTCCAGCCCACACCTGTTTCTGTACAGCCCATAAGCTGAGAATGGTTTTTACATTTTTAAGTGGTTGGGGAAAAAAAGCAAGAGAAAACATTTTTAAGGCATGTGAACGTTATTTCAAATTCAAATTTCAGTGTTCACAAATAAAGTTTTATTGGCACACAGCCACTCTCATTTGGTTACTTATTCCGAGGCTGCTTTTGTGCTACGAGAGCACAGGAGAATGGTCAAGACGGTATCTCTTCACACTGCTGCCCAGGACACTATCATCTCAGTGACAAGGCCACCACCTGATAGCATTTTGAGCACCACCGAGCTCATTGTCTATCTATGTGGAAAAATGTTTGCAAAGATGAAAAAAAAAAAAAACCTCTCCACAGATCGGCATTGATAGATACACATCTGCAATCAAGTTTGACGATTCAGAACACTAATTCCTCAATTAAGCAAATGTTATTCTCCAAAACAGAAATCCAGTTCTTCCCACTAGTTGACCTGTGTTACAGATATATTGTGGTTCAATTGTTTTTATACGTAATTGCTTAAAAATTTGCAATACTTTTTCTCTCATGTTACGTAAGTACCAATGTGAAACACTCGGTTATGCCTCTTTATCAAAAAAGCCTAAAATGCTTACTATCAGGCTCTTTACAGGAAAAGTTTTCTGACCCTCGAGCTGGATACTCATACCCGCGCTCTCAGGGGAAGCAGCGTGTGTGGTACACCGACGTTACATAATGGGCCACCGACATGGCTGGTCAGTGGTAACACCAGGATTTAAACCAGGCAGTTTGGCTGCAGAGTGTGTGCTCCTAAAGGCACATCACCTTCTAGTCCCTTTTGCCCAGCTGTGACACACCCCCCTCAACAGCACCTCATGCCCAAACAAGTGACTTACATGCCTGTAGAATCTACTGCCACAGCCCGGACCCCACCCCGGTGACAGAGAATCTTTGCCAGTGGCTCCTTCATGGCTGGGCTCCATAAAGACACAGTCCCTGGACATCAGAGAAGAGCTGAGGTTACTAACAGGGCACTGAGGTGATTCAACCTGGAAAAGATGGGGACTCAAAGCCAAGAGGTAACAAGAGAGGGAGGTAGAGGGGCAACTTTAAGCGACTCATGAAATACATGTTTAGAAGAGAAAAGCAGAATGGGTGGTCAGAATTGACCTCAGCCAAGGACCCACCGTTGCTGTGTCCAAGATGGATGACAGCATTGTAAGGGTTCTGAGTCATGACATCGAGCCGTCCTGCCCGAGCATTCAGAGCGGCCACAATCTTTCCCACGGACACGTCCAAGTATGTGAGAAACCCTGTCTCTGACTATGAGAGAGAGAGAGAAAGAGACAGACTGACTGCCTTCTAGTTTCCCTCTACTGGGGTCCCAGGGGAGGATCAGTCTTCTCAGGGTCTGCCACCCAGTCCCTGTGCTCCACAGCCACTCACAGCTGTGGCCAAGAGGAAGTGGAAAGGCAGGAACTCAAGACGTGTGACTCGGTCACAGCGGCGGATGCAGTGGAGCTCAATGCCCTGGTTGTCGTAAATGTGAAGCCAGCGGTTCTGAGCAACAGCAAGCAGTGCTTCTGAATGCAGAAACCTGGGAGGAGAGAGGAGTGATTCAACATGAAAGGGAGTCACAGGCTATCATTCAATCAGGGATGGGCTATCTCACCCCACTGAGGCCACTGACCGGATGTCCCGCACTGCCTCCATGACGTTGATCTCACACATGAGCTTCTTTGTCACCCAGTCAAGGGCAGCCACGTGACCCCGGCGCCCTCCAAAAGCCAGGTGTCTGTTGGAGGTAGGGACAGGCAGGGTGTCAATGCAGGGGAGCACTGACCCCTGACTCAGAGGTCTGCCCCACGCCAGCTCCTCTTCTCCAGTGAGAGATACTGCTCCACACACTCACCTTCACATGGAAGCAGATCACAGGACCCTCCCCACATCAACATCCAAACATACACTGGTATGGCTGAGATGGGCACGGCTGAAGTGGTTAAGGAGACATGACCACATCCTAGTTCAAGTCATTGGAATTCAACCTTACCTCCCAGTTCGAGAGTAATTCAGCCTGTAGGGTCCAAACTGCCTCAAGTTCAAGTCAAAGTGCTGAAAAGGGAATAGTTAAAAAAAAAAAAAAAGGCTCCCTTCAGTAATTTTCTCTTCCACTCCCCACCTCCATCTTGCTCTGCACCACCCATCAACCAATGAGCCCTTTTCCATCCTCAGGCTCACTTTGGCTGCACTTGCGATGTCCACGGCCTCCACGATGTCAGCCTGACGTATCCTTGCCGTGTCCTCCCCATCCTCCCCTTCCAGAAACCTGCAAGCGAGCGTTACAGTTGCATTAAAGCTTCCTAACGTGAAATGGGTGTACAAAAACAAAATGGAGAAACGAGAGCCCCATAAAGCAGGGGACGGAGAGACCCACATTAGGGTCCACTTACCCAGGTTCCTCAGCAAGCAGCAGCTCAGAACGAGCAGCTCTCACACTTACTTCCTCTTCCTCAGCTTCAGCTGCCTCCAGTCGGCTTCGGGTTTTGGATTTAGAACGTGGCAGCTATCACACGTTAGGGCAGGAGCGGAAGAACCAAGGGATATGAGGAGGGTCACAAGAGAGCCACCGGGCCCCGCCCCCATCCAATTCACTCAGACATTCCCTGCTTGCAACAAGTCTCACCTTTTTGGATTTGTCAACGCGACGGAACTTCTGAACCACCTCCCCAGGGACGGGGGCGGGGCCTGCAAATGGGTCCTGTGCCTAGGGCAGAGCAGGCAATTAGCAGACCAACTAGAGTTGACCCCAACCCTCGTACCCTCAAGGCGGAAGGCGAGTTGTCTCGCTACCCTGTCAGGTTCCAGGCTCACCCCAGACAAGCTCCGCTGAGGCCCCCGTTCTCGGGGTTTCTTCGGGGCCTGAGGCTTTTTGGAGATCCGAGACTTCTTTCGGATGTGAATGTTCTTTGGCTTCTGGGGGCGGAGCTCTCGATTCCTCTTCAGTTTACGAGGGGGCCCTGGAGAGGCTCCGGCAGCAGTTGGAGAAGTCTCTTCCTCCCAGTATCGCCGCGGTTTCTACGGGCAGATCAGGAGCCCTGATGTTCGGCGGCCCCTTGTCCCGCCCCTCCAACCCCGCAGCTAAAAACTTCCCTTCCACCCCAAGGAGGCCTCTACCTTCTTCTTGGCCTGAAGTTTGTCCTTCTTAGGCTGGACATCCCTGCCCAGCTTGGGGGCTGTCTCCATCTAGCCCACCCGAAAGACGACGCACGTGCAAATTCTTCTCAGCTGTCCCACAGTTGGCTTGAAAACTCCCGGAAGTCCTCCGGTTGTCATCCAATCGGTGCAGCCCTAGGTCTGAAGCCTTCTAGGCGCCATCTTGAATGAGGGCGCTCTCTCCACTGAGGGGCGGGGCCGACCCGCCCAGCCGTGAGGCAACTTATGCCTGAGTAAGAAAAGAGAGTCAGTCCGGAGCCAGGACCCACGTAACCATGAAGTTTCTTATCCCAGCTTCGTTTCCTCATCTTGCCTAAAGCCTTCCAAGTTTAGCCTTTTTAGCAGAACGCCACTCATTAGGTATGTTAGAACTACAGTTCCCGGCATGTGCCGGAAGGCAGCTTCCGGCGCCGTTTTTTCCCAGCATTCGTTGTTTACTTCCGGGTTCACCAATACTGAAGGGAGAACGTGAGTAGGCCAGGGGTTCCGTTGAGGGGTTTTGGGGGTCTCGGTTTGCCTGCCACCCGCTGGAGACGGGGTGGAGTTGATATCCCGGACGAAGAGAAACTGCTGTGCTCCGAGAGACTGCCTCTCAAGAGGGCTGTCATTCCCGCAGGCCAGAAAGAGAGCCCCGATACCTTCCAGTGTGAGACCCAGTGCCCCTCTCCGATTCCCTGCAGGCTTTCGTCCCCGCCATGGCTGAGCTGATCCAGAAGAAGTTACAGGGAGAAGTGGAGAAATATCAACAGCTACAGAAAGGTAAGGGAGGAGGATCGGTGTGGCCTCGCCCCCATTCCCTCACTTACAACCCAAAGCCATGCCAAGATAATGTGTTCCGCCCCGCCCCCACCCCACCTCTGGGCCCCTGTGTGCGGCCCTTTATATGCTTTACCCAACCACTGACCCGTCGTCCCCATCCTTGTCTACTTCTTCAGATACATTTTCTTGTGGGGGACTTTGGGGGTTGGGTGGCACATTTGATGTCTTGATTTATCAAGTCTTTCCTTCCACCCGCCAGACTTGAGTAAATCCATGTCAGGGAGGCAGAAGCTAGAGGCACAACTAACAGAAAATAATATCGTGAAAGAGGTGAGAGACTGGGGTTTGTGGGGCGAGAAGGACTTTTACAGACAATGATTCTGATCATGTATGTCTCACCCCTCCATCAGGAACTGGCCCTGCTGGATGGGTCCAACGTGGTCTTTAAACTTCTGGGTCCCGTGCTGGTCAAACAGGAGCTTGGGGAGGCTCGGGCTACAGTGGGGAAAAGGCTAGACTACATCACAGCTGAAATGTGAGTCTTTGTCCCAGCACCCTGTGATGTTCCTGACACGTTGGAATAGAGGTGTTGAGGAACCACTGCAGAAACCACTGTAGAGTATCTCTCCAGAGTATCCCCATTATTCAGTTCCTCTAACCCCTTCCCTTTAACCCCTCTTCTCCGTCCCCTAAATGTCAGGTTTTCCACCAGTCTCCTTCTTGCCTTAAGCATCCTCAATAGTAAGTCTCACTAATTTCTCATTTGCTTTTTGCCTCTCGTCTCTCCTTAGTAAGCGGTATGAATCCCAGCTCCGGGACTTAGAGCGCCAGTCAGAACAACAGAGGGAGACCCTTGCTCAGCTGCAGCAGGAGTTCCAGCGGGCCCAGGCAGCAAAGGCAGGGGCTCCTGGGAAGGCCTGACCCCGTGGTGGGGGGAAGGGGAGGGGCGGGAATGAGGCAGCTCTAGGGTCTATACTGTAGCTAATAAAATGTGAAAATACCTGGCCATTTTCTGACCAGCCACCTCTGTCATAATTGTCTCCACCCATTCCCTGGTCCCTTCCGCCTTATATATTTACCATCTATGTTAACTCACTCAAGTCCAAATTCTTTTTCTTTCTTTTTTTCTTTTTTAATGGAGGTACTGGGGATTGAACCCAGGACATCTGCTGGCTAAGCATGCACTCTACCACTGAGCTATACCTACCACCCCTTCTCAGGTCCAGATTTTTGCACTGGTATCTCTCTGTGGCAAAGTAATCTTTCTTGAGACTGAAGTCTGAAAAGTCTCAAACCTAATTCTTGCCTGTATATACAATCCTTAACTCTCCTTTGTCTTGGCTGGCATCCTCCTTTAGGAAACAAGAGAAGGACATTTACAATGCAACAATTTTGGGGAAAGTGAGTTTAATTGACTAACATACAGTTCTCTGACCTGTGACCCCAGAATGAAACATGGTGACCCTCCTTGCTATGATATGTCATCCTCAAAATAGCCTTAGCATCTTAGTTCTTTTTAACCTCTTTCTTCATAAAATTTGTTTAAATGTAGCTTAAACTGATTTAAAATCCCAACACACAACGCTCTGTGATATTGTAAGTCCTCAAGGTTTGTACACTGTCCACAAAATTGTTCTTGGATTTCTGTCCAAAAATTGTTTCCTACAAATTCCAAGCCAAGGGTGTTCTTCGTACTGATCATTTTAATTGGGTAGCTAGTACTTGACATAGGTCTGTGACAACTTAGGAAAATTTAAGAGCAAATAAAGAGACCAGAGATAGAGAGGTTACTGGGGAGGAATAAACCATCCTGAAGGAACCGTTTCCACCAACTCCTTGCTTTCAGCTCTTCATGGATAAAAAAACATTCGGTCCCTCTTGTTCCATGGTGTCTACCTTCAGCCAGCTCCCCACCCCCACTACCAGCAGCTAGTTCATACACACTGCAAGGACAGGAGTAGAGTTCAGGTAGTGTTTTGGTTTATTAGTGTTGTCACAGTGACAGGAACCCCTAGAGTAGGAAAAGGAAATCCTACTAGAACCTTCTTACTGTTCCCTCTCCCTGGGGCTCAGAGCTTCTAGGCTTTTCTCCTCCCCCTACTTCTAGGCCCTTCCTTGACCCTTGGCATACTAAGATGTGGCCAGGAATCAGAAACCGATCCCTTTTTCCAGCACTAGCTGTGCTGCATTCATGGAAAGTGGGGAGCTATACACAGGTATCCAACTTGGTTACCAAGATTACCAATTCCCACAGGGCTGGATATCCACCGTCTGGTAAACCTGTGGCACTTCACTGCCCCAGGGTGGTTGGCCATCTCTGGATTTTTTTTCCTAATGTGGCAACTGCCACCACTCAGGATGGCATGTCTGGTATGGCCCCCATGAGTTCTGTGAGCCAACAGGGCTTCCTCCTCAGAACAGTGCCCGGGCAATCTTCCTCCCTGTGGCCTTGATCCGGGGGAAAGAACCCCTCTCCCTCCCTCTCGGTTGGGGGACTTTTCGTACGGGACGGGCCGAAAGGGGGACGGGGGGCCCCTAAGGTTCGGGACCGGCCGGGGTACCCC